TCATGCCGATTCATTTCAAACTGTGAATTACCTTTAATTCACAGCTTGAACAGGCTGCCAAATTTTGTTTTCTCTGCTCCCAGGTGGCTGTCCCTGATGCAGTGGAGAACTTCCAAAAATAATATTAAGTCCTTAGGAAAAGTTGGCAAGCTCTGCGACGCAGGGCATACAAGACAGGTTAAAAGCAAGAGTTGGCATACGTCTCAGTTTGAAAGCCGGAATGGCTGCAACCAGTGACAGTCACCAAGATTCCCAGTTTATTGGGAGAGTTTAGTTTGGCTTTTGTAAGCCTCAAACTGATTAGTAGTATTTCTAAGTTCCAAGTACCAAATCATGTATTCTGATTAAGAATTAATCTGATTACGAAAACAACAGTCATTTTTTTCCCCCTGCCTCGTTACACAGTTACTTTGCTACGGAAAGTGTGTAGCAGACCAGACATCTGCTTAGGAAAGAATATGTGAAATTGCTAGAGGTGGGAGTTCCTTCTCAAATCTCAAATCGGATTCTCAAAGCAAACGTTTTCAATGATGAAAATTTGGGTAGAAAGATGGTCAGGATTTTCATGAATGTGTTTTTCGTTTCTTGGGGTTTTCCGGTAAAAAAAATTTGTTTCAAAATTCATCTAAGAAATGATGTAACGCTTGTTACTGGTCATAGCAAACCAGAAAACATTCTCATACTCTTTCTATTCCCTGTGGTAATGAAATCTTCATACCACATCAATACAAGTTTGGAGATAATGATCTTTCAGTTGAATCAAGCAATTTTGACCAGGTTTTGAATCATCTAAAACACAGAGGTATAATTTCTTGTGGGACTGCTTCCCATCAACTTCAGTTCTTCAAGTCTATTTGAAGGTTGTGCCCCGACCCCATCAGATACCGTGAGAAGGGACAGCCCGGTGGGAAAAGAGAGGGCTTTGTGCATTCAAGCTTTCCCACGAAGAGCAGTGTAGCTGACTCGGCCCTTCTGTGTACTCAGAGCCAACACGTCCATTCGAGATAAACAGTCAATTTGTCCTCCCACTGGACTGTGTATACTTCGTAAGGAGGGACAATATTCTAGCTTTGCTTTTCTCATCTGTAAAATGGGAATAATTTGGAGCCCCTCCAGGGTGGCTGCTAAGTATAATGGGGTGATGTATATAAGAGCACCTGGCATGGGACCTGGCACCTAGCCTTGCGCATGACCCGACAGCACAACGATTATTGTCACAGGTATCCGCCATTCCTGTGAGAGTATAATGTCCTTTCCTGCTAACTAGCGCTACATTCAAGCATTTGTCCATGTGGCATGCCTACCTGTCACCCACAGGTAAACTGACCACAACTAGACTGTCTCTGTCAGGCCTTTGGTCAACTCTCTGGGCCCATGGCTGTGATGCTTTCAGACCCGTCCCTAATGCCGTAAGTGGAGGAACTGGTATTACGGCAAGGAAAGAACAGCCTATGGCTCTACATCTGCCTTTACGTTGAGCTTTTATGGAAATTATCCAGGAATTTTCAACAGCACGCCCTAAAACACAGGAGCTACTTGATTAAAAGGGGGTCTGGATGACTTCCAGCCGGACAGAGTCTAAATGCAAACAGCCGAGGATGACAAAGGAACTGCATATCTGGAACTGCCACTTTCTCAATTGTCCTCACAAAACTAGCTAAAGTCAAGAACTGACTCGACGGAAACCCTTGAGCTCATGGTTGCTGTCTGAAAATGCTTCTCAGGAAGCATCTGATCTGTCCCTATTCAGGACAGCTCATAAAAGACCAACAGAGGAGTCATGTATTTTGGTAAAGCCACTGTACTGACAAGTAATTGACAAGATGTCATAACCAGCTAGATGAAGCCATCCGACCCAACGAGGAAAATCCAAGTTCTTTGGATTTAGTTTCTGTTTTCTCCTCCATTGTTCCTTAATGGCTTCCTGAGGAAACTAGAAGGTAACCCAATGTCTGGGGTGTCCATTCAATCCCTGAATCCTCCAACTGAAATAAATGGGTGCTGTAGAGGCAGAACGAACGTGATATTACTGTACAAATACACAACTGCACAGCATGAGACATACAGTTTGACCTTCGACAGCCCATGCCCCACTCTCTTTTTGGGGAGAGAGACCCTTTTTGAAGGAGGCTTGAAACTCCACTGGACTTAGACGACCTGGGTGAGGCCTGTTCCGAGACTATAATACAACTCAGACCCATGCAGACTGAGGGAAACAACACGTGCCAGGTCTTCTTTCCTCCAGAAATTATTAAGGGGTAAAGTCAAACGCACTTTGACCTTGAGTTTAATTACTAAAGAGTACAGCTGTTTACATTTGAATTGTGACAAGTGTGTGCATATATACCTGTATGCGTATACAATCTGCTCATTACTTTGCTTCATTTCCCTCAAGCGACTCTAACTCTATACTCTGAAATAAAAATAAATTCCCCCATGATTTATACTCACACCCTCTGAATCCTAGGTCAGTGCTTTCCCCCAGTACCATCACTGTCATGGAGTAGAGGCTCAAGCCCAGATCTTGAAATTCCTACAGTCCCATGCTCTGGCCTCCTGGGCAGTCAGCTGGAGCAGGTAGGATGTCACCATTTAGATGGACACCCCATAAAAAGCACTGTGTGTCAATGGAGTATATGCTGAGCGAGAAAAGCTCCCGTTCTCCAAAGGTCAGTGATCCTGCTGAGCCAGGAGCACAGAGCCTGGCTGGTTCCCAGCTTGCACTCAGGGACTCCTGCACCAGTGTTTTTCAGACCTGGTGCCTGGGCGTGCAGTCCTTATAAACAATCCAGGCCCTAATGGAAGAGCTGCATTTTGTTATCCAGGGAAACGAGGCCAAGATGAGGCAAACAAGTAAAGTGGCCCAGTAATTAAGGGATTCTGATTTACAAGACTCCCGTCTCTCTCTACTGCAGTGAGGGTTAGGAGCTTGCCCAGGACATTCACAAGCGTTGGGAGGGTGTCTCTGCCGCAGCAGGGCTGACTGGGGGCTGCTTCCCACCAAGCTCCAGCCACCAGCAGTCTGTCTACACTCAGGGTGCCCTTAGTTGCCTAGAGGATTGCCCTGCCAGACGGAAAATCCTAGAAGCTGACTTAAAAAGCACACCGTAGTGAAATATGCGAGAATGACTGGAAAGGCTAAGCTGATAATAATTTGGAAGCTAAAAGTAAAAATAATTATTATAACTCTGACCTGCCCTGTGTTAAACCTATACCCTCTACCACAAGAAGGGAATTTATTCCAGCCGAAGTCTGATGAACAATGCCTGGCCTTTGGATCAGGCACAGCTAAAAAGAGAGCAGTTCACTCATAAAACAGGCTCAGTGTCTTCCAGTCTTAGGGATGCCTCCTATAGAGAACCTCAGTCCTACTGAATGCACTATATACCCTGTGCTATGAAGTGCTGTTCTCTGGAAATGCAGCCTCTAGCTATAAACCACAATTGACAAGTTTATTTCTGTTAGTTACAAACTATTGAAATATTGCATTTTATGGTCTATATGGAAATCAGCATAGTTCACAGCAGGAGTCTGATACTCTTGCTTTAGGAATGGGATCATTTTACAATGGAAAAATATTTTTATGTATGTGTTTTCATACTTGGAAACCTGCACTGATTTCCTGAATGCTCAACTCCCTCTCTCTCTCTCTCTCTCTCTCTCTCTCTCTCTCTCTCTGTGTGTGTGTGTGTGTGTGTGTGTGTGTGTGTGTGTGTGTGTGTGTGTGAAGTCTACTGGCTTTGTAATAAGAGTGGGGTAAGTCACGAGTGGAGGTAATGAGAATAAGGTCTATTGTTTACTAGGATAACAAGGGGGAGGGCAATTCAAAATGATTCCTGGAAAAGCTGAAATGAACAATATCAAAGATGATTTTTATTTCCACGTTTCCATATAATTTGGTCCTTCAATCAAGGTTATAGTTTTATTTTCCCCTTGTCTCTTTTTTTTCCCCTCGATTCTTTAAATGGAGGATTCTTGGCTGTTGAAATGGAACCTTGAATTAGAAGGCACAGATCAGGCCAGAAAACCAAATGAGAGGTCTGGTGATGGGGTCAGGGCTTTGGGGGCTTTGCCACTAAGCAGAACCAAGAATGTGGAAATACCACTGACTTTCCCAGAGCCTCGGTCTATTTGGGAGTCATTCCCAGTTGTTTTATGCAATTATTCGTGATCTTCCAAAAGGTGAGCAAGTCACTTCAAGGGTGCCATTAGGCCACTTGAATGTCATAAATTATTTCATTTCGAAAAATTTCAGGTATGTGACTATTACTCACGCAGAAAAGTCAGCTTCCACTTTCCATTATTAAGAATGAAAGAGGTTGTGAGAGAACTACTCCCTTGATACTCTCTTGGACAAATGGCTATCACAAAATCTACAACGGTTAATCTGAGGAAATTGGCTTCTCCGTACCCCTCCTTCAGTGAACATTAATAAAAAAGGAAGAGAGTGGGGAGTGAATCGCAGGGCCCTGGCTTCTGAACTTCAACCTAGCGCCACGTAATCACTTATTCCACCTCTTTCTGGCTGCCCTTATCTTTAATATACAGTCACCAGATGACCTGCAAACAGCAAGGTCCCGGGCTGACCGGCCAGAGCAATCCACCCAACCTCTCATGTCCGAGCATGGCTGCTTAGGCGGGTCCTTTCTCCATCCTAATCGGTGGTGGCCGAATATAACATATAACGATGTCTGTGGCTGAAGTTACACAATGCTCCAACAACTACTCAAGGATCACAGTTGTTGTGGTGCCCCAGGTATCGAGCCAGCCTGCATCTTCCACACCATTAGAGAGCCTAGTGGTGATTCATTCATTTTGAATGGGAAATCTCATTCTCCCCTCGAACCACACCCCATGCTATCATGAGGCAAGCTTCCTGTTTTCAAGGAGCAGGAGAGACAACAAGATCCGCTTGGCACTGAAGCACCTTTCACTTGCGAAATGCCCCCGAAGAGGCGTGTTTCAGAAACCTGAGTACTTGCAACTTGAACGGTACTCACTTTGTAGGAGCTCTGCTGGTCGGGTCGCTCCACTCTGAAAAGAAAACGCACAGACATTTACCATCCATGTTTTCTACTGTCTGTCAGATGATCATCCTGAATGAAACATGCAGCCCTCCCAATTACTCTCTTTCACAGAATCCTGCCTGAATAACAGACGGGAGAAAAAAGAAACCAGTTGCATGCGTCACAGTGTGACTTTTTATTATTGTTGTTATTCCATGTTTTCATGATATTAGGTAGGAGGGAGAAGGAAGTGAGGGAGGAGGGGAGATGCTTGGATCAAGAAGGATGTTTTCCAAACACCTACTTTGTAAGGCGAATCCTGGGGTCAGATGCTGGGATTCCTATAAGGAAGAGCACATACAATACAAACGTTAGTTAAATGGTACAAGAGAAACAAAAGGTCTATTTGTTATCGCTGAAGATATAACTTGACTAATGTTGGCCGATAGGAAACCACTGTTAAGAATTCCATTAATTAGGCTACTGTCTGCAGCTCTATTTGAAGGATAAACATCTGCCAGCCAAACGAGCTACAACACGGCCATAACTGCCATTTCATGAGAATTACACGTAAGACTGGTATCTATCTGGAAATGTGTGCGACACGGGAACAAATGACCCATATGTGTGAGATTCAAGTGTGTAATCTGCCACTCAGCTAGGCAGTGACACCTCTGTGGAAGTAAAGGGGACTCAGTTCAAACAAACAAGTGATTGCGATTTTTGTGGAAGTGTAAATAACACTGTAACTAATAGATTTGCTCAGTTGTTCTATTTTATAGAAACAACTCCAACTTTCTACCTTGACGGTGACACATATGCAATAGATGTATCTTATTTTCACAAGAGACATGTTCTTAAAACTTCATCACAAATTTGGCAAAGTACAGCAAGCAATTTGAACTATGCAAGTGGAACGAATTATCTAAAGGGATTTAAATTTTATTTGAAAGGCACCCTCAACACAATTCATTCAGTGTTTTGAGAAATCCGGATCTGCGCACATCAGGCTCTCTGGGAGCGTGGACACCCGTGTGGATCCTGACACAGCTTGCAGACAGAAGCTCTGCCTTGACGTACAGGGCATGCACAGCTCCTCGCAGATGGAGGAGAGAATTTCAAAGGCAAAGCAAGTGTTCCAAAACTGGAGACAACGAATTCAAGCAAATACAAGAATTCATTATATCAAGAACACACACACACACACACACACACACACACACACACACACACACACACATACACACACAAACACGTATGTATAACTGAATCACTTTGCTATACACCTGAAACTAACACAACATTGTAAATCAACTACAGTTCAAGAAAAACATTTTAAAAAGAAGAATTAGTTACATCAATGTGCTGCAAGTAATCTACTCTTTAAGGCTAATCTTGCCACCCTATGGAATAAAAATAACATCACCGCATAATTCACCTTTAAGAGAAATAAGCAAGAACAATGATGCTGCGTTTGAATCAAAAGTGAACTTTCCAATCGATTTAGCATGATTCTGCTGCGCAAGAGACTTCTCTTCTGGCATGATTACTACTCCAGAAGACGACCATAAACCCCACAAGAGATGGAAAAGGCCTCTCAACTAAAGGGCTGTCACCAAAGCCCACGTAGTTTGCTGCTCAAAGCCTTCCTCCCCTCGCTGCTAGACAACTGGCTTTTGACATTAGACCCTAACAAGCTTGGCCATTTGATTCCCACCAGTTATAGCAAATCATAGATGGTGAGAAAGAGGAAACACTGCTAGAGGCATAGCCACTAGGAAGCTTGAGACGTGAAAACCGACAGCACAGGGGGCCAAAGAGAATGACACAGCAAAGTCAGAACTTAAAAAGCGCGAGTCTATGGCCATTCAGTATAGAGGCAAGCATTCCTAGCCATCTCAATAGCTCCCGAGGACACAATTACAGCACAGTATAACATTACAGCGCTCTACAATAACTGATGCTCACAATAATGTCTAAGTGATCAAGAAAGGCTGAAGCATGTTCAGGATAATTTTTATAGGAAGTCAGGAAAATATTAATTACATTTCAAAATGATTCCTATTACGTGATTCCTATGGAAGGATAACCTTTGGTTATCCAAGAATTTCAATTATCCAGATCACCTCATTTCCCCGAGTGCCAAATAAATGAGGAGTTAACCATTTGCAGGTCCTTAATGATATACCAAATATATACAAAATTTTTTCCCTTTTTTTTTTTTTTTTTTTTTTTTTTTTTAAAGAGATTTCATTACAATTGTATAGGGCAAGTTTGGGCTTGTATACCTGGGGTGCTGGCCCTTTCCGCCACGCAAGCTCTGTCGTGAATGGAAGAAACAGATGCTTTCTGAGAGGGTGGTGTCACCTAGTCCTGGTGCAAGCACTGAGGAAAGGGCCAGCACCCCAGGTACATGTGCTTGCTGGAGACACCCACGTTTTGGAAGATGGAATTTGAACTGGAGCATCTGCAAATCGGTGTGACAAAACATCACCAGAACACCTGGATCTGAAGACTGGTTCACTCGTTTATTAGCTGAGTGATTCTGAGCATATCACTTGACTCTGCACCTTCGTTTCCTCCTCTGTAAATTAGGGATAGTCAAATTACCGACCCCTTGGAGTGGTAGTGAGGATTCAATTATTTACTATATATTAAGTGCTTAGAACCTGGCGAGGCACATGGAAGCATTATATGCACTGTTAATATTATTGTTATTTAAAATGTACTTTTCTTTCAAGCCAACATTTTGGCAGGAATCAAGCGAAACAAAAGAGTGGGTGGGTAGCCCTCCTGGTTTCACCATTTTATCCCACTTGCTTCTTCTACCTTTATCATGTGGCTGATGGTAGCACAGATCATTGGCAGAAAATGCAAATCAGGCCTGATTCCAAATTGTGCACTTACTACATACAAAAGCCCATTTCAACAACCAGGTCTACTGTAAACACTTGCAAATGTCAAAATTGCGACTTGCACGAATTATCTCCAAAATTGGAGAACACAGCTAAAAACACTGCAATCGCTGTACAAGTGCTGGATTCGGTGCCCGAAAGAGATGAATTGATCCCTTGGCTGAGATGCCAGGGGGAAGGATACCAAGCCCAGGGGTGTCTGACGGGGAGAGCGGGGCTCCAGGAAGGCATGACACAGCCCAGGGCAGGGACAGACGGGGTGGCGGCTCATGGTTCCGACCCCTTTCAAAGGTGGGAGGGGACAATTAAACACAGTGTAGGCCAGTGTTACTCTCAAAACGATGACTCTGAAAACTAAAGGATGTGATTGGGTTTCCCTTACAAATAAAGTCCAAGCTCCTTGGCTGGCATTCAAGGCCTTTCCCATAGATGCACTTATTTGCCTGGGGTTGGTTGGTCTCTGCTCGCCATCACACAAACCAGGATCCAGCCACTCGAGACCATAATAGTCTACATCCCATCGTATCCCTTTGGGTGCCTTTGCCACCCTGTTCTGCATGGAGTGTTCTTCTTTGGGGCCCTTCTCCACCTGTCAAAGTTGTAAGCAGCCTCCAGATGCTGCCACCTCTGAGCACTTTGTCAATGCCCCCAGGGAGTGTTAGATCCTTCTTGGGCCTTCTACTCTCTATGAAGACATGTGCTACATTGTTCTGTCGTTTTGTGTTTTTCTTCATCCCTAATTTGAAGACTATCATATGTCCTCAGTAAGTAGTTTTTGAATAAATGGACGAATGGGTGGATGGATGGATGGACGGATGGGTGGACGGGTGGATGGGTGGATGGATGGGTGGATGGATGGATGGATGGATGGGTGGATGGACGGGTGGATGGATGGATGGATAGGTGGATGGATGGATGGATGGGTGGATGGGTGGATGGATGGATGGATGGACGGATGGATGGATGGATGGACGGGTGGATGGGTGGATGGGTGGATGGATGGGTGGATGGGTGGATGAATGGATGGATGGATGAATGGGTGGATGGACGGGTGGATGGATGGATGGATAGGTGGATGGATGGATGGATGGGTGGATGGGTGGATGGATGGATGGATGGATGGACGGATGGATGGATGGATGAATGGGTGGATGGACGGGTGGATGAATGGGTGGATGGATGGGTGGATGGGTGGATGGATGGGTGGATGAATGGATGGGTGGATGGACGGGTGGATGAGTGGATGGACGGGTAGATGAATGGGTGGATGGATGAATGGATGGATGGGTGGATGAATGGATGGATGGGTGGATGAATGGGTGGATGGATGGGTGGATGAATGGATGGACAGGTGGATGAATGGGTGGATGGACGGGTGGATGAATGGGTGGATGGGTGGATGAAAGGGTGGATGGATGGGTGGATGGATGGGTGGATGGATGGGTGGATGAATGGGTGGATGGATGGGTGTATGAACTGGTGGATGGATGGATGGATGGATGGGTGGATGAATGGGTGGATGGATGGGTGCATGAACTGGTGGATGGATGGATGAACGGGTGGATGGATGGATGGGTGGATGAACGGGTGGATGGATGGGCGGACGGATGGGTGGATGGACGGGTGGATGAATGGGTGGGCGGATGGATGGATGGATGGGCGGATGGATGGGTGAATGGACGGGTGGATGGATAGATGGACGGGTGGGTGGATGAATGGATGGATGGGTGGGTGGATGAATGGATGGGTGGATGAATGGGTGGATGGATGGTTAATTGGATGGAAGGAAGGAAGAAAAGAAGGAAGACATTATTTTTTTTCTTTTAAAGTGTGTTATGAGAAAATCCATGTTTACTCAGGCATTTTAAAAACTGATGGTGAGAAAAAATTCTTACTGAGAGCAGGTGAGGAAAAAAATTATATGAAACATTTGACTAGAACTGTAGGAGAAAAAGTTCTGTCAGTATGGTGTGTTGGTGTGTGAAGATCTGCCTGCTTGTGAACGAGGACTACAAGTGATACACAGAAGTGAAAACTGATCCATTAGACTGAAGAGTACAGGGTTTTTAAATTAAAAACAATCTTGGATGTTGTTCCACCATCTACTGGGTCTTTCTTAAGGGATGAGTTCACTCCTCTCTCCAGTCCACGAGCTCTGGGCACAGTAGCTCGGCCAGTGGCGGTGCTCTAGGCATTAGGATTCGCATGCCAGCGTCTGGTGGACATTCTCTTAAAGATGCTCTTTCAATAAAATGCTATTTGTATTAACATCCCGAGGGACACGAGAGAGTCTACATTTTATGGAGCTTAGAACACCAAGGCCCTTTCTATTTTTAAGAATCCAACGGGAAGACTGGTATAAGTGACATCAGATCAAGGAAAACGGAGCAAGGAAGATAACTGACCTGTCCTGGGATGGAAAATGT